GTTTCTTTGGGCTAAATCTCTCTCAGGAGGAACATATACATCAAAGTTCATTTGCTGCTCCGTCTCTCGAAAAGGGCGCTATATAAACAATGATCAATCAGCAAAATTTCACCATTGACAAAGAAATATGCAATGGACTAGCAATGCTAAATACCTTTTTGGCATTTTCTACGCCAGTTTTTCCCCTACGAGGAATGGAAATTCAGTCCCCGCCCTATGGTAGGCCTAAAAAGTTGAGGATCTTTATCAGGATCGCCAAGATCATTGTAGTAATCGTAGCCATAGACTCGGTGCCATTCCTTCCTCTCCCCAAGAGTATCTCCTCTCAAGTCTTCAAGCTCTTCTTCCCTCAGATCCACCAGACCAAAAGGTGTTTGGCTTGGAAGATAATTCTAGCATAGGATAGAAACATGAGTTGTGGAGTTAAAGTGATAAAAGCAAGCCTGCGATAATATAGAGCTAATGCATATGAGTATTATAACTACCTTGTTCGAGAAGAAAATTCGGCTTGTTTGAGTATGTTTCATTGGGTATACCCAAGACCTGCAATCGAAATAGATACTCAGATTTTCAGGAGCCTGGAGGGTTGCAGACTCAATGAAAAATTCATGCTTATGCTGATTTTCTATTATAAACGCTCCTGGAATTCCAAATTCAGGCTCCACATTAACTTTGATTGTGTAAGTTGTTGTCCTTGTTCCATTCCGCTTGTGACTCTCCTTTCTCTTCAGGTGTGCCTTTTCGCTCAACTTCCCTTTTCCAGTGTCTATTATATGCAACATAGAAAGGAAACATCAGCAGTTTATCAATGGAAATTGATTGTTATGAAAAGCATTGAACTTACTTTTGTCGACAATTGTGCCGCTGTAAATCTGCACAGAAGCTGATTTTCCAGGCCCTGAATGCCCTGGTTTATGATCAATAACAATAGTTCCCTCGATTATGGATTGTTTCAATGCAGTATCAGGTTTTCCAGATGAGCGTTTGGAGAGTTTATTTTTGACAGCATTAAGACATTGTTGCAGGGCTGGACATGGGCGGAGGCAATGGTGCTCCATGGTCATTTTTCTGAATCAAACTCTGCAGAATCTATGGATTGTTGTTGGTGAGAAGAATGGTTGCATATGGGAAAAGAATAGTACAATTTATAAAAGAGAAGTTTTGTTCTTGCTTTGGTTTTGAGGATTGTATCAAACCCTTTGCTTGTTTGTCAGGTTTTGTTGTTCTCAACTTTGAATCTAAGCGGCCAGCTTTGTGGGTTTTGCATTTAGAATCTTTTGGTTAAATTATAGTCATGGACAAATCATATCATTGTCCATTTGACAAGAAGAATTCCTTCTCCTCACATAGCAGTTTTTAACTACACTGTCCAAAGTATTTAAGAATCCATACTTAAAAGTTTTAATGCTTCTCTTAGAATCCAAGATGTAAGTTTTGTTCTGAGTTGAAGGTTGCAAATTAAGGGTACATTTGATATGACTTATTCGAGTAGAGTTTATAAAAAAAGAGCCTATTATGAAAGTATGAGTTTTATGAAAAATATTTTAATTGGTTGGTTAGGAAAATGTAAAAGAATAGGTTTTATTTAATAAAATGTATTTTAATATACAAGAGTAGATCTACATCAAATTTATAAAATAGAAAATGGATAATTTGGAAATTATTTCACTTTAAATAAGCTTAAAAAGAGCTTATTTTGAGATTCTCTTGGACGTCATAAAATAATTTATTTAAAATCGTATAAGAACTTTTGAAATGTAATTAAATAATTTTAAAAAAAAATTCAAATATACTTATGATTTTAAATAAGTTCTTTCGGCCAATAGATAAGTCCAACCAAACAACATATTTAATTGGACTTATTTATTGGCCGAAAGGGCTTATATTTGGTTGAGCTTATCTATTAGTCGAAAGAGTTTATTTAAAGCTATAAACACTTATGAAATCTTCTTAGACTATTTGGTTGCATTTCCAAATTGTTTACAGAATTTCAAATAAATTATTTTACAACTAACTGCATAAGTTCAAATTTTGAGCTTTTTCTGTAAATTTTTTTTTTTTTTTAAAACTTATTTAGAGTATTGAAATTTAAAAAACATCCCTCTTCAATTTTATAGTTTTGTCCTGATCTATACTTGAATATTAAAACCTTTTTTGGTAAATTAATATTAAAAAGCTTTTTTTATATTTTCCTAACCAAACAACTATCAAGATTTTCACAAAATCTCTATTCATGTAATCTGTACTGTAATAAGTTCTTCTTTCATAAATTCTATTTGAAGAAGTCGTACCAAATGGACCCTTGATTTATTCGTATAAATTAAAACTCTTTTTGGTAAATTAATACTTGAAAACTCTTTTATATTTTCCTATCCAAACAACTAACAATTTTTTTTCATAAAAAATATATTTTCATAAAGTCTACTCCAATTAAGCTATACTAAATGGACCCTAAATTGTTGATAATCGTTTGCCAATAATTGTCAATGTTGTTGAAGATGTTAAAGAAGCAAAACCATCGTCTCTAAAACCTCATTTCACATTAACCAAAGTAACATACTAAAAGACTGAAATACCCTCTTCAGTATATTAACCCCAAAACGACCTTTCGTCTTATTTCTCCTCAAAATCAATTAAAGATTACCACCAAATATCGGTTGAAAATGTATAAAATAAATGTTAAGAAAGGCTTGGTTTTATGAAAAAAATAGAGATTATATGAATACAAAGGAATATCATCTTGTGAGAAAATATTAATCAACTCCTTATATTTATACAATTAATTGTTTGAATATATATATATAACAAATTAATCACATATATGTATTGATCATATATTACAATAGACTCTAATACTACTATAAATTTATGGGTGTTGATACAAAATATATATGTAGACATTTAAAATATTTATGATAATTTATGTAATGATAATAATTTTATACACACACACAGAGGGGGCGGATCTAACCTACTTTTGGGTGGACCATGGCCCACCCTCAAATTTTTTTTTTTTTAAAATACCAATATATATATAATTTTTGGATTTTGGCCCACCCAAACAAAAATATTAATATGTAATTAGTTTTTATTTTGGCCCACCGTAAAAAAAAAATTCTGGATCCACTACTGCACACACACACATATATATATATTAGAATATCTCTATAGTCATAATGTGGGGACCAATTAAATTTATTACTATGAGGAGGTTATAACTTAATAGAGGTATAGTGACAATAATTATTTTTTTATTAAAAAAAATTCTTATTTTATAATTCATGTTTTAGTAGTATTAGGATTTCCATTCATATTTTAGTAGTATTAGGATTTCAATTCACTATTTTAGCATTAAGATAATACAAAAATGGATATCAAAGAGTTACTGCATAATTGAGTAATCAAATTCGACAACTTATCTACACTAATCAAATGGATACTAATGTGTTCCTCAATCATCCAAATAAATAACAAGTCATGTATGATTTAAGTGAAGAAAAAAACATTACTAGAATTAGACAAGAAGATGAAGGAGATAATCCTGATGATGATAATACGGAAATACCAAAATTTTTGTGTCAAGAAGCTTCAAACATATTTGAGAAGCTAGAAATATTTTGGCTTTAATAAGAAGGTATCCATGTTGGCGACTTGTTATGAATCCACAAGATAAAAAATGTGGTAACAACTCTATAATATAAATCATTGTCAAACAACTTTAGATAAATATTTTATTTCATCTTGAACCTTTAATATAATATAGCATATATTTTTTGTAATATAAATATAATTATTACTATGTAGAGATAAATACCTTAAGACTATATCTAAAAAAATTATAACTTATTACAATGTGAAATTTATTCTTATATATAACTGGTCCAAGTTGGGACTATAATTTTTTATTATTATATGGAGGTTATTCCTATATAGATAGATATATATATATGTCTTGTTTGATATGGAACCAAATTTTTTTGAACTATTTATCGGTTTTAACATTATGTAAGATCCATTTATTGGCTGTGATCCATGTTTGAAGTTTCATTATTTATGATGGTTATCTATTTTAATTTACTGAGTTTTTATTGATTTATTTAAAATATAAATATAGTGAAAGAGTTAGTTTGTTTTTAAATGCTGAATTAAATGGGTATAAATTATAAATTGTTGAATATTTGTCTTTTAGAGCATGAATTAGAAAGTTGGTGTATATTTTTTATTCGAACAGGTATTCATACGAGTTATTCGAACATGTATTTAGACGAGTTATTCGAACGATTAATCGAATGATCACGAACAACTCGTTTTGTTAATCAAACGTTCTCGAACAGTCATTCTATGTTCGAACACGATTTCAAACATCCTTTTGTGTTTATCGAACGAGTTTCAAACGAAGGTGTTTTGTTCGTTTGCAGCAGTGATCAACACAACATATGATGATCAAAACAAACTTGAAAATTAATATTATTCAAGAGGAAGTTAAAACTTCTTAATATTGGTCCTTTCAATTCAATGATTTTTTCTTCCATAACTTCAAGTATTGTATTTATTTATGAATTAAAAATTTTGTCGAAAAATATATATGTTAATGTCTTGTTTTTTCTTCTTTTTTTTTTTTTTTTCTTTTTTTCATAGTATTTTTACCCTTTTTAGTTATTCTATCTGAGGTTAAATTTGTAATGTTAGATTATTTTTTAATTGAGGGTATAATAGATGACTAGCGGGCTGCTATGTAATAATTTATTATTATAATATTGAATTGTTATTATTATTTTTGTTGTTAGTAACAACAGTACATTAATTTGATATAATATTTTATAAGTGAAAATGGAGAAAAAAAAAAAAAAGACATAAATTATATCTACTAATAACAATTTAGAAATCTTCTATTTACCAAAATTTTAAAAATAAAGAATTAAAAAAAGGAATCCCTGAGATTTACTATCAAACCAAAGCACCCTGATATTTTAAAAAATATTATAAAAACCCCTGATATCACTCGTCATAACCAAACACCTCTCACAGAACCACCATTTTCTCATCACAATGGCTACTGCCACTTTTCGAAAGCTCTCCACCCAAATTCACCGCATCCCATCGCTCTCCCTCCACTCCAAATGCCTGCTTTCCCGCTCCTCCGCCACCTCCGCCAAAGTCTCCGACAGAATCGTCAAGCTCTTCGCCATCGACGTCGACGGCCAGAAACGCGAGATCATCGGGCTCTCCGGCCACACTCTCCTCAAATCCCTAATCAATCACGGCCTCATCGACCCCGCCTCCCACCGCCTCGAAGAGATCGACGCCTGCTCCGCCGAGTGCGAGGTCAACATTGCTCAGGAATGGTTCGATAGGCTTCCCCCTAGGTCCTACGACGAAGAGTACGTGCTCAAGCGGAACTCTAGGGCCCGAGTTTTGAACAAGCACTCGAGGCTTGGCTGTCAGGTTGTGCTCAATAAGGATCTTGAAGGTATGGTCGTGGCCGTCCCCGAGCCCAAACCCTGGGACATCCCTTGATTTTAGGCAAAACTCTGCCATTTTGAGTTTTGGGGAAATTTAATAATCTTCAAAGATTTAAACTTTTGGTTGTTGGATACTGCTTCATCTCTGCCTTTATGTTTTATGTGGCTTTCAATTATATGAATTTGGAGTTTTTGGAAGTTTAATTATGTTATCTTTAATTAGGGGCATTGAATTTGTGAAATGTTGAATAATTACCTTCAAACTAAGCATGATGGGGATGAATTATTAGACAATTTCAAGTTTATTTAGTTCTTGGTTCATTGTGGTCCAAAGTTTTTAGGGTTAATAAAAAATTATAATCTTCATTCATTTGATTAGTCTTTTCTTTGGCTGTTTTATCTATGAATTTGTCAATAGATGGAGATTTGCCTTGGTAAACAGTTGCAAATGTATGTATGTACGAGTAGAAAGTCCATTATTCTCCATGAAGTTAAGGTTCTTATCTAACTGATGAATATGCAAACTTCTTTTTAGCAGAACTGAACTGCCTGGATTTGTCAATATTTTTGTTATGGGTCTGGCATTAACATTATACAAGTCATTTTAGCTAGAGAATGTGCAATCCTGGATGATCATCAAATAAAGGAAATTGTGACCTTTGTTGAGTGTAGATCAGCTGCAGTATTTGTTTACCAATGCAAGGAATAGCCTTCGCCTAAATTACATTATCTTTGATTTTGGTAAGGTGTTGGTGGCGTATGTGACTTACCTTACTTAGTCAATTGTGATGTTTCTCTTCTTTCAGCTTGTATGATATTGTGAAACATTACTCCTGAAGGGTAAAGGAAGAACGTATACTGGCACAACCTTTTTGAAGTGCATATAAACTGTTATCATTTTAAATGTTATTAGCATAGTGTTGGAAAATTGAGAAACTAGCCAAGTTTATTGTGAAATTGATCACTTCATTTTCTTTGTTCTTTGAGGTCATCTTATTAGTAGATTTTCCTTCTAAGCATACACTGATAGTATCAAGTTGATGTTGATTGAATTACCTAGAGCCTCTCCATTGAACATTAGAATTCAGACACCCTGAATAGAATAGCTTAAGCTCTTGGTGTGCCTATTAAACTTTATATAAAACTTTTAGGGCTTCAAGAGATGGATGGAATTCAGTTGGAGAACTGTTACTTCAATCTCCAAGAAGTCCTGTAACTCTGAATGAGTTTTCACTACGTAATATCCATTTTCATTGGAAGGTAGTCCCAAAGAGGAAGGAATAGATGTTCATTCCATTAATGACGCACTTTTGATTGTGTATGTGGAGCTCTTATCTATTTTCATAGTGTTTATAGAGATACAATAATTTAAGTTGTAGTTATGGTATTTTCACTAGTATGGTTACTTATTCTTCTTCTTCCAACTGTGGAAGTAGTTGCAAGTTTCTGTCAATTCTCTTTTCTAAGATGGTATGCTGTGAAGAATTTATTATGAATGGACTTCACTTCTTATCCTAGAAGAGTTAGGTGTCATGGAAATTTCAATATTAGGACAATGTGTGAATTGTTTAGTTTTTCCTTTCCTGACAATGGAAGTATCAGTTGTCTATGTTAGAAGAAGATTGAGGTGTCATCTTATTTATTTATTGTCATAGTGTTTATGTGATATAAGATCTTAAGGGTCTACTTGGGAGTTTTATGGTAGCGGTTATGAGGGTTAACTATCGTAGCGGTTTTGAGGATAAACCACCGTAGCGGTTTTGAGGGGTTTTTAGTAACGGTTTTTAAAACACCTAACCTGTGCTTGGGAGTTTATTTTCCAACGGTTCTGACAGTTTTTTTTAAATGATAAATTTACATAAATGCTCATAAAGTTAAAACACTCTCTCTTTTGCTTAATTAACTTTGAAGTTATAAATTTGACTTGCATGTTTTTAGCTACTCAGTCTTGTGAAAAAGGTGTTTTTACAAAGTTGTACTTATGTTTCTTATTTAACACCTGGTTTTGGGTTTTACTTCCATTATCATTAGTCTGTGTCATGGTTATCCGATTTAGTAAGAGTAGAAGACGCTATAATTATCAAATTGGAATGCTGGACATAGTTTTGACTCCTGTGAAGAATAATAGCAAGCAAATAAAATTTGAAAAGAAAGAAAAGATGGTAAATTAAGTTAAATGGGAGAAACAGATTGCAGTCAAATACTGGACACAGTTTGCTTGAGAGGCGTTGAAAATGGTGGTTTTTAAATAGCTGGTGATTGACAACTTTTTCTTTTCAGGTTTTGAGAAGATGTAACAGTTAATATATTATTATTATTGAAAGGATTTTTTGAGAAAGAAACTATTGGACATAGTTGACGCCCAATTTGCTGGAAGTGAGGAGAATCTAATACAAACCCAAACGAGTTGTGTGCAGAAAGGGATTTTTTTGCAACAAATTAAAACCATTCACTCACTTCGTGTGCAGCAGCGAGAGATTTGTGTGCAGAGAGAAGTCAACAACAGCGAGAGATTTGTGTGCAGCAAAGGGAGTGGAAAGGGGTTTTTTTGGGATAAAAGCTTTAAACCAGTCAAAACACCCCGATTTGGGGTATTTTATAAATCCCTCAAAAATACACTACACTGGTTTTGGGGGGTTTTTAAACCAGTCAAAACTAGCCTATTAAAAATCTGGCAAGTTTAAGGGTCTGCTTGGGAGTTTTTTTTCACTAGTTTTGGGGGGTTTTTAATTAGACTGGTTTTGAGGTGTTTAAAAACCCTCACTTGCCAGATTTTTAATAGGCTAGTTTTGACTGGTTTAAAAATCTCTCAAAACCAGTGTAGTGTATTTTTGAGGGGTTTATAAAACACCCCAAATCGAGGTGTTTTGGCTGGTTTAAAACTGTTATCCCAAAAAAACCCCTTTCCACTCTCTTTGCTGCACAAAAATCCCTTTGCTGCACACAACTCGTTTAGGTTTGTATTAGATTCTCCTTACTTCCAACAAATTATGCGTCAACTATGTCCAATAGTTTCTTTCTCAAAAAATCCTTTCAATAATAATAATGTATTAACTATTACATCTTCTCAAAACCTGAAAAGAAAAAGTTGTCAATTCACCAACTATTTAAAAACCACCATTTTCAACGCCTCTCAAGCAAATTGTGTCTAGTATTTGACCGCAATCTGTTTCTCCCATTTAACTTAATTTACCATATTTCCTTTCTTTTCAAATTTTATTTGCTTGTTATTATTCTTCACAGGAGTCAAAACTATGTCCAACATTCCAATTTGATAATTATAGTGTCTTCTACTCTTACTAAATCGGATAACCATGACACAGACTAATGATAATGGAAGTAAAACCCAAAACCAGGTGTTAAATAAGAAACATAAGTATAACTTTGTAAAGACACCTTTTTCACAAGACTGAGTAGCTAAAAACATGCAAGTCAAATTTATAACTTCAAAGTTAATTAAGCAAAAGAGAGAGTATTTTAACTTTATGTAAATTTATCATTTAAAAAAAACTGTCAGAACCATTGGAAAATAAACTCCCAGACACAGGTTGGGTGTTTTAAAAACAGTTACTAAAAACCCCTCAAAACCGTTACGGTGGTTTACCCTCAAAACTGCTACGATAGTTTACCCTCATAACCGCTACCATAAAACTCTCAAGCAGACCTTAATAAGGTGTTTCATAGTTCCTACTTTAATTTTCTTTTCCCTTGTTTAAAATACCATGCTGTGTTATAGTAATGTTAATCTTGAGACAAGTGTGAACCCTCAATCATCATTTCAAAGGCATAAGTTGATCGTCCCTGGAGTTGTGTTGAGTAAATGTTATGCACATTAAGCTTTAAAAAAAATGCTGCATTTCATTATCAAGAGAAAAATATGAGGTTAGATATTGGTCCAAATACAATTGACAAAGTTGGATGGTGACATTCCAGAAGCTCCAAATTTATCATTTGCCTTTTCTTCTATGGGTAGTTTAATATATTTTCCTATTAATAAATTTCTTTCATGGATATCGGAATATATATCAATCTCAACAAACGTCTTCAATGGGCATTGAAATTTATCAATCTTAACCAAGTCTTTAATGGGTATTGGATTATCTCAATCCCAACAAAGTATACACACGTATTCTCAATGTGTACCTTAATTCAACCATGTAATCTGAGAGGAACAGTGACTTATTAAGTGGGTTAAGAAAGAGTTTTTGTCCTAACATTATGTAACGTCGAATAAACGTCTGTGTCTTCGCTTATGCATACTGGCATTACAAGAGTTGAAATTGTGTCAAAAATTCAGGCGTCCACTGGAGCGCAGAGCTCAATTCATTGAAAGAAACTTTATAACTAGTAGCTGACAAAGTCAATCTAATTTAAAAACCATGAACTACAAGTCATTCTTCTGGATAAATAAAACATGACTTGCCCACTTCAAGATATTGTGAAACCATTGTATTAAAAAATTCAACACAAATATTTTTATTTAATGCAAATACAAACAGAAATATAGATAAGTAGATCATGAAGAAATTACAAAAGTTTTGTTTTTTTGTTTATTTAATTTTGATTTTGATGTAAACCAGGCCATGTGCTCAATATGATCATAAGAGAAAGGAGATCATATGAGCGAGTTAGCCGGAAATTACTTTTGCAAACGAAGAAATTGCCTCAAAACATTCGTTATTAAAACATAAACGGTTTTGGGACAGAGTGCGTTTGCTTATTTTAAGCGAAAGAATTCAAAAAAAAAAAGTAATGTGCCAGTAGGAAAAGGGCCTGAAAAATCAAGATGGGTCAGATTCAGGCGAGTGATACCGGCGATTTCCATGTCGCAAGTTTCTAAATTTTGTATTGCCTGGGTCGTTTTTGTTCAGACCCAGCCAAGAAGCTGACTTGCTTTACAACCAAAACAACAAAACAAAACCATTTACACCCCTTCAAATGAATTGAAACTTGTATTACTGCAAAAGGAACAGCCTGCAACTGGAAAGGTTTATGTGGGAGGAGATGATATTTATAGAACAAAGAAATTAGGATTAGGGTTAGGTTAGGGTTTTGACGAGGTGGGCCCCTCTTTCTGGCCCATATCTGAAGTTGACAATTTGGTCCAAAATAACATGCCCACAGCTGCTCGTTATTTTATTTTGAA